GCGCCGCGGCCCACCCCAGAGGCCACCCAGCGCCAAGCGCCCCTTCCCTCCACTGCCCACGGCCTCCGAGTCCAGGGGAGCTGCGTGGGCGGTTCAGGCCAGTCCAGCCAGGAGCTGCAGCCTCTCCTACTGGGACCCGGAGGCCGCCTCCTGTTCCCTCTCCTGCCCAAGCGCCTCCCCAGCCTCCCCACCCACCAAGGGGAGCCTTGGCCCATCAGCCTTGGGATGCCCTGCCTACCACTTGGAGGTCCTCCCCAGCCAGAAAGGCGGGTGTCTTTCGGTTCCTGTACCATCCCGGCCAGCTGCCCACCACTCTGCAGAACCGGCCAAAGAGAAGTGCCAAGGCCAGGCTGTTCAGGCCACCCCAGGTCCTCTGATCCCACCCTGGACACAGAAGGTGGCTCTTCCTGCCACAGCCCTAGGACATGGTGGCCTCCTTCCAGAAGCAGTCCCTGTGGACCAAGGTCTTGGGGACCTGAGGGAGAGGTTTCCCTCACAGTCTGCAGCATGCTGGTTGCCTGTCTAGAGAGGGCTCTGTGGATTTCCAAGCCCAAGCATGACCGTGCAGTTCTCTGGATGGCTCCCAGGACACACTTGCTCACGGGAATGGCCCGGGGACCGTGCTCTCCCCTGGGCAGATGCTCTGAGACACACTGCCAGGGCTCACTTAAAACCACTTTGCTCTGACTTGAAACAAGTCACTTAACTCTTCTTGGACCTAGTTTGGGAAAAAAAACATTCTGTTTAAATGCCAAGAGTTGTGTGTTCCCTCTGAGCTCCAGGTTCACACTCTGCAATGAGCGTGGCGGTCGGTGCTCAGGGATGGGCAGCCGCTGTTCCCTCCCAGGCACAGCAACTGAGGCAGGCAGCAGGGCCCCAGCCCACAGCCCCCTGGGAAGCCGAGAGCGAGTGAGATGGAGGAGCCGAGGCTGCAGTCAGACCCACTCCCTGGAGGGAGGCGGGCCTCGCCAGGGCCTAGCACCTAGCAAGTACCACCAGATGTGAGGCGCCTTCCAGCCGAAGGCCCAGGGGAAGCTGCGCTCCCTCTACACCCTGTGACCGTCAGGACACAGCCCAGAGCAGCCTCTGAAGAAACACTGGGCAGGTCCTGACACGGGTGCACCTCTGGCACCCAACACCCGTGTGTAAGGCCTGCCCAGCCCTTTGCTTCTTGGGTGCCTTCCCCTCAAGCTGCCAGCCTGGTCCACTGGCCACAAGCTCAGCGTGGTTCCTGGCTCTTTCACATGTCCTCCCGCTCCAACATCCTCTTGTCCGTCAGCAGGACGGCTCTGGGGCTTGGCTCCTGGGCCTGGTCTCTGGTGCTGGCAAGAGTCTCACCCACTGCTGGGTTGCCTCCCAGAATCTGCCTCCACCCCTCGGACTGGGGGCCTTTGGACTCAGCTGACAGACACCAGCACTGAGACCAGCATCTCCCCGCAGCCCTGCCACCTCTGCTTTTCCCCAGCTGGCACACATCTCTGGTTAGGGGGAGGGTCACCAAGCTATTGTGGGACCCGGACCGAGCATTTTTCTCTGAAGACCCAGGCGCTAAGCTGCAGGAAGCAGCTCCCTGCAGCCTCCTGTGTCCACACTGCCAGCATTCTTGCCTGCGGTGCTCAGATGACCCCCGTCCTCCCAGATCGAGCTTGACGCTCCCAAAGACCAGCAGGTGGTGGCCAAGCCCTGGCTGGGGCCTCGGAGGCAGCATGACCATTTCAAAGTCTCAAACGGGGGAACCCACCAGGGTGGCACCTTGGGCAACTCGGTTCTTCCTGACGGGCCCGGCCTGGCCATACTCAGCCTCAGACGCCCACCTGCACACGGACTGTGGCTGGTCCAGACCTTCGTGCCACTCTGCAGTGCGAGCTGTCAGCAGGCCTTGGACGGGACAGAAACATCATCCTCATGTCAAGCTTTCCGCACTGACTAGACTCCAGCAGCACTTGGATCTGGCACAGCCACGAATCTGAGTACTTCCCACCCCACCAGTCAGGGTTCCGGCCGGAGGCAGGCGGTGCTTGGGGGTCGTCTCAAGAACTGGTAAGTGTGCTGGGTGTGGGGCAGCCACACAGCACGGCTGCACCTAGAGGGGTGCCTGCGGGAAGGGGACGTGCCCTGGCAGAAGCTCCAGGGAGGTAACGCCACCACCGGGCACAGAAGAGCAGGAGCTGCTGACCCACGACACACCCAGCCCCACCCCGGCCCTTTCTCTGCCCTCTTCCAGGATGCAGGCTGGTAGGAAACGTTCCTGGACCCCTTCAGGTGGGATCTCAACGCTGAGAGCTGCCTCTGGGAATGACTCTGCTGCCCTCGTTAGCTAGAAGGTGCCCAGAGGCGGTGGAAGCCTGGGGTCTCCGCTGACCACACCAGCTTGTGCACAGCTAGGCTGCAAGGAGAGCAGTCCCCGGGGCACCGAGGGGACAGGTGGTGCTTGGCTTCTGCCACAGCCGCTTGGGACCTCTTGTCCGTGCATGCGTGTGTGCGTGTGTGTCTACATGTCTGCACGTTTTAGCAGTAAAATAAAGACTCCGCTGGCGACAAGACTGCTCCTTACTGCAGGATCCAGGACATCACATCGGGAACCTGCAACGAGCCCTCAGGTATTAACCAGTTAACTGGCTCATGTCCTGTTTTTCTCTGGTGAGGGGCCATAACACATGGGCCCACAATGAAGGAGCCAACCACAGAGACAAGCCTTTTAATTTAAAATTTTTAAATTACAGATTATAGGTTCAACCCCTTTTTGAGAAAACACCAGCTTCTCCTCAAGAAGACGTTTAACAGATATTGAACACGAGTGAGTTTCCTCACCAGGACAGGCACACGAGGACTGCTCAGGGAGGTCCACTGCCCTGACGTCCACGTCCCAGGCTCAGTTCCCTGTCACCCAGAATGGCTGGGCTGGGACAGCAGCGGAGAAGGGCCTCCTTCCTGGAGCAGAGACCTGGGTGTACAGTGGCCAGCGAGGGGCTTGTGGACAGGGGACTCTCGGGCATCAGAGGCCTTCCTGCTGAACCAGCTCAGGGCTCTGCCGAGGGGGCCCTACAGGACATCCCGGTCCAGCATGACTCGGCCCAGCACCCCACTGCGGAAAGCCCGCAGGAAGTCTCGGGCGGCGGCGGAGTAGTCGGGCTGGATGACGGTCACGTCACCTGGGAAGGCAGGAGGGTGGGTGAGGGAGGCTGCCTTCCCTCAGAGCCTGGCCCTCCAAGCCCGACCCAGGGCGGCGCCCCGTCTCACCCGTGCCGGTCAGCACTTTGACCCTCTGCGTCTTCCGCAGCCGCACGGCCACCCGCTTCAGCACGCTGGTGATGTCATCACAGGCCCCGCCCAGGCCGTAGTGCTGCACGTACCTGCACACAGACCTCGGTCACAGAGACCAGCGTGGAGCCAGGGCCGCCCACAGTGACCCCTCATGAGCCTGGGTCACCACTGCGGGCGCGTCGCTGACAGGGTCTTCCCGCACGACCCTGAGTGGCCCTGAGGCCAGCTCTCCCATGCCGGTACACACTCGGTTTGCTACTGGGGCTGCGTCGGTGCCCCCGGGCAGCCGGGCGGGTCTGTCTGACCAGCATTTTCTGCGGCCAGCAGACCAGCGCAGGTTGTCCTGCACATGCCCGCTCGGCCCGGCGGCCTGTGGTATGGGCCTGGTGGACAAGCCAGCACAGGGCCGGGTGGCACGTCTCAGGCTGAGAAGCTGAAGGAGACCAGTGTTGTCCACAGACACACACCTCCCTGTGCCCCTGAGCCGGGAGACCCCGGCCAGCAGGTCCACTTGCCTCTCCATCTGCACGTCTGGTGGGCAGACGGGCAATGGGGTCTGACCTGCAGCTGCACGATGGGGGAGGCTGGCTCCCTGGGAGTACCTCTGGCCACACACCCGGCTGACAACACGGGCCTGGACCCCACGTGAACACTGGAGCCCCGACTCAGGGATGCCAATCCTGAGGAAGGCAGGTCCAAAATCAACCTTCCCCAGAGCAGCAGCCCCACAGCTCCTCTGTCCCTGGACCAGCAGGCCCTGAGGAGGACTCCCTCCCGCCACATATGCCGGAGACCTGCACCTGCAGGAGCCAGGCTGCCATGCTCTACAGAAACACTGCAGGACTGCGGGGTCCACACGACTGCCTCAAACATCAAGCAAGATACGACACTGGAAACCACTTCCATGCGAAACAAAGTGACAGGGGCTGGGTCTACCCCCATCAGAAATAACAAAAAAGGGAAGAAATAATCCAAAATACACAAAACAACGGTTTCCAAGGTACCGGACGTCAGGCCACCGAGAACATAAGTCAGGGAAAGAGGAGGCCCGGCCACGCCCAAGACCATGGGTGGAGAGGATGGCGCTAGGACCAAGGTGGCCTGAAGGTTCCCAGAGAATCAGAGAGGGCGGGGCGGGATGGGACGTGTGCAGAGAGCTGCCCCAACATTCAGCAGAGGTTCCCTGAGGCCAGAGGCCAGGAAACACCGCCCAGGAGGACACAGGGGCACAGCCAGCCTCCCCAGAGCCAGGAGCCGACGGAAACCCCGTGAGCCCCAGGGCCCTGCTTCAGTCAGCAGAATGTTCCAGGCCCACCTGATAAATCTTACAGGACCCAAAAGGATCAGACTATTTCCAAATAACTGTCCCAGAACAAAGCCTGAGGATTTTCACAGGAAAATAAAGACACCCATCACCCCAAACAGTCAGGTTCTCACGCCTGCCTCCCATCAAAGGAAACACACAGCAGGGAAACAGACCCTCCTCGAGGAGAAAGCCAGCAGAAACCGCCCCAGATGCAGGAGCTCAGAGACAGGACAGCAGTTACTAGGACTGCACTCCCTGTGGCGACAAAGTTGAGAAGCGCAGAAGATTATCTGTAAGAACGGCCCAAATCAAAGGGCCAGAGGAAAACACTATGAAACATGCTGCAGGGAGTAAGCAGACCAGACTCTGCAGAAGGGAAGGCGAGCAAGCGGCACGGGGGCCCCAGTCCTGCAGGGGGAAGGGTGTGGCTGATGCAGCTACTCGGCCGCAGATGCAGGAACGCAGGGACTACCAGCACAGGAAGCGTGCAGCAACCGCAGCGCAGCCCAGCGCCATGACCCAAGGCTGCAGAAAGAGAAGTCGAAAGCAGCCAGAGGGGCGCGTGTCCCAGAGCGGCAGACTCCTCCTCAGAGCAGCATGGAGGGGCGGGCACCCCGCCCCCGCGGGCCTGAGGACGTGGACCTGGGGCTTCACAGGCGCGGCAGACGCCCTTCAGAGACGGAGGTGGAACAGACACACCTGAGACGAGCACTGGCCTGCACCACGAAAACGTCGAAGGGAACCCGGACAGGACGGCGGTCCGCAAGCAGACGAGAAGCCGTGAACACAGTAACGCCCAGGCCGAATTCTGCACTTTACGTCCCTGAGCCACAAAACGCACAGTGTGTCTGCCCCATAGCAGCCAAAGAGACGCCAAGGCCGGCCCCGGTGCAGACGAGGCGGAGGGAAGGCCCCACACCACACGGCATGGCAACATCACCTACAGAGGTTCTGGAAACCCTGCAACAACCTCCCCCAAAGTTACAGGAACAAACTGACACAAAGGTCATAAAAAGTACCTAAAATTAACCTGAAAAAGGCCAAAGAGAGAGGGAAGAAAAAAAGAGAAGCCTGGGATAGAGGCGAGGAGACACCAGTGACCACGCCAGGGGGAGTGGCCTGAACACCTAAAGGAAAGCAGAATGGGTCTGACTGGGTGAAAGCAAGGCCCAGCTGCACGCGGCAGGTAAGCACACTTCAATGTGAGGACACACGTGTGCTCAAAACAAGGTGATGGGGAGCACACGAGGGAGACCGCGGGGCAGAGGGCCCTGAAGGACACAGAGGTCACGCCAGGGACGAAGGCCTCTAGTCATCAGGACAGAACCACCTCCTGGGGTCCCCACCCCCACGACAGAGCCGGGACCACGGGGAAGAGACACAGACCCCCTCCCCCACCACAACAGCGCGAACAGGAAGAAAGGCAGCCAAGCAGAGCCAAGGCAGCGCTCAGACCGACGGCCGTCAGCGAGGCAGGACGGGGCGAGCAGAGGAAGTCAGGGCGACCAAGAGCTGCCTCCCTGGGGAAAACCTACAGCCTGGGATTGACGTCCTCCAGGTGACAAAGGACAGGTGTGGGGCACCACGGGACACCAGTGCTCACCCCGTCCTGGAGGTGAGAACAAACAGAACGCCATCCACACAGGGAAGCGCCCTCAGCAGGGACCGATGTCAGAACACAGCAGAAGCCAGAAATGACCGAGCTGGAGGGAGCGCCGTGTGGCTCCATTCGTGAGACCCCCGAGGTGATGGGGAGCAGGTGTGGGCAGGAGGCCCGGGGGGCAGTTACAGAGCAGCTCAAGAAACTGGGGGTTTTCTGGACTGTGTCCCAGTTTCACAGGTGGACCTGTACGTCAGATCCTGTCAAACTGCTGCAGGCCGTGTCTGTCTGCGCTTGACAACGCTGCTGCTTCTGAGTCACGTTCCCGATGAGACAGGTGCCCAGAGAGGCGGCCCCGCCTCCCCACACTCACCCCAGGAGCTGGTGCCTGTTGAGGGTGTAGAGAAGATAGTCGGCCAGGGTCTCCTCCCCCACCAGGTGGTCCAGCACGCTTCCTGGGAACAAGGGGCGGGGCGACAGCTGTGAGCCAGGACT